GGTGGCTGTGGCGTGGTCCTGATGACCTCGCTGGTGGCTGTGGCGTGTCCCTGTGTTCAAGCAGGATGGCTGGGAGGTGTGACCTGGGGTCCAGGCTGTCCACTCTGCTGCTCTGAAGTCTGGCCGCTTGGCTGGCTTCTAGGAAGCGTTTCTGGGGACCCTTCCTGACCAGGGAGGCTGTCGTCTCACCTGGCTTCTGTGTTGCTTGCCCTGGGGCTGTGATCAAGGCTGTTAGGTCTAAACTTTAGTGTCTGTATTTGTGAAGAGCTCACTTTGTTTTGGTGGTTTAAAAACTCCCTTTTGAATCCCAAGAGGCAACAAAAGAGGCTCCGAGACATCTGTGGAGGCCGCGTGAGCAGAGTCACACACGCCGGGGACAGATGGGCAGTGGCATGGCTGCTGTGTTTAGTCACAGTGTGCTGTTGAGGCTGACGAGCGGGCTCACTGGGTGAGGGTGCTTGCAGCCAAGCCCGATGGCCTGAGTGTGATCGCTCGGGCCAGTGCATCGCACTCTGATGTCCCTGTGCCCCAGGGAGGACACACGCACACTCGTACACATGTGTGTGTGTGTGTGTGTGTGCAAATAGCACTGACTAAAGTATGATTTACGGAAGGTTTCCAGAGAGCATCGTCACCTGCTGTCTAAAGCAGCCTCCTCTTTTGCCCTGTGACTTTAACACTTAGAATCTGCTGCGGCCAGCGTTCTCTCTGCTGTGGCCCGCTCTGCTCTGTGTGAAATGGGCAGCCACCGTGTCTTAGGGAAATGACCACACGCAGTGTGGGGGTGACGCCTGGCATCATAGCCCTTAGACTGAAGCTAGCCTGGGTTACGTGGTTTCCGGGCCAGCCTGAGCTAACGGGCAAGACTCTGTCTCAGCAAACAATCAATCAGTGCTTCCTTGTTATTTCTTTCCTTGGTGGCCGTGGTGGACGGTGAAGTGGGCCGAGTCAGGCAAGCAGAAGAGGCCAGAGCTCAAGCCGGTCACAGACCGGTGTGAAGCTGCCCTGTGAGGAAGAAGGGTAGCCATGCCCCTGGTCCCCAACAGGCTCCTTCTCTTCCCACCCCCCCTGCAGGCTTCCCGGAGAAGGCCGTGGCTCACTACCAGCAGGCCATCCAGCTGAGCCCGCACCATCATGTGGCCGTGGTGAACCTGGGCCGGCTCTACAGGTCCCTGGGGGAGAACAGCAAGGCGGAAGAGTGGTACAGACGGTACAGCCCCTCCTCCCTCTAGGGCTTCCCACGGGCGACTACTCACTGGGCAGGCGGGCTTCCGGGACACAGACTCCCACTTCCAGAAAGGCAGGACAGCGAGCCAGGCGCTCACAGTGACCACACACGCACACACGCACACAAGCATGCTTGCATGCGCATACTGGGAAGGCCACAGTGCTCGTCGAAGTTGGAGTTTTCTGCTTTAATTAGTTCGGTTTTCTGGAGCTGCCGTCACAGCTGACGCTGCCACATCGGCTCTGGAAATGGACACGGCTGCGCTCTGTCAAGGCCTGCAACAGCCATTGCACTGACACAGACTCCTGAGACCAGGAGTGGCCAGGAAAAGGGTCACTGGAGGTGTACACGAGGGACACAGCATGGCCCTGACCACAAACAGCCTGAATCCCAGCCCGCGCCTGCGGCCGTGTCCGGGTGGACCAGGAGCCCTGAGCCCCGTTTGCCTCTGTCCCACAGCGCCCTGCAGGTGGCCCGCACAGCCGAGGTCCTGTCACCCCTGGGCGCGCTCTATTACAACACTGGCCGCCACAAGGAGGCTCTGGACGTGTACCGGGAAGCTGTGGCCCTCCAGCCTGCCCAGCGGGAGCTCCGTCTGGCCCTGGTGAGGAGGGGAGAGGGTGCCGGTGCGAGGCCACAGCAGAGCTGAGCACTATGGAGCAGAGCTGGAGGAAGCTCAGCCCGGCTGGGGAGCTCTCGCGAGCTCTGCCACACAGGGCGCAGGCGCCCTTCCCAAGTGACTTCGGCGTTCCCGACGGGCAGCCAGGCAGCGCCGGGTACCAACGGGTCTTCCCTGGAGTGCACAGGCCCTGGTGTCTACCTCCTGGCGCCAATCTAAACCAACCTGACCAAAATACAGCCCTGTGGAGTCCTGGACCCAGACCCAGTAGTGTGGACCCTTGGGTGCATGCTCGCCACGCCCTCGTGTGTGTGTGTGTGTGTGTGTGTGTGTGTGTGTGTGTGTGTGTGTGTGTAAGGGCACAGGAGCGTAGGGCCGGTGCTGTTTGCCTTGCCTCCTGCTGGCGCGATGGCTTGCTGGAGACGCCACCGCTTTCTCTCTAACCTACCTCCGGCGAGGCTGCTCTAAGCAGGATGTTCTCTCACAGAGCTGCAGTGCTGTGGCCACGCTCAGGGCAGGCAGCACCTGCAGCGTGTGAATGTCATGCTCTGAGACTTGTCACCTTCGTACATTCGCTATGTCAATCAGGCTGTCAGGGAACCACCCCTCGCACGGTTGGTGGCCCTTTTCAGGCTGCCCCCGCTGAGCGCCAGGCGCCTCCTAAGCGTGCCCTGTGGCTCTGCAGGCACAGGTCCTAGCCGTGGTGGGCCAGACCGGCGAAGCCGAGCAGATAACCAGCCGCATCGTGTCCGAGGAGCCGGGATGCCTGGAATGCTACCGCCTTCTGTCGGCAATCCACAGCAGGCAGGAGCACCACGACAAGGTACTCTCCAAGTGTGTAGCCACCCAGAACAGGCAGGACTGCCAGGACGAAGGGGAGGGCCCTCAGGGCCATGGGGTAGAAAATAGTGCAGATGAGCCTCCGTGTCTACAGGCCGGGAGTCCCGACAGCCTGGCCTGCACCCTGCCCCTGGAGCTTTCCTCGCTCTCACCTGCCCACACATCTTAAACAGCACATCTGGGCTCCTCTGTGGCTTGCAGACACTTTACCTCACGGTTACAGTTGGTTTCTGGCTGCCCAGCCCCGCATGCCCTCCAGCTCCCCAAGTTCTAGTGTTTGCTTGCAGTTCTCACATCAGCCCGGGCAGGCAGAACTGTCAGGCCCTGCATCTTCGTCTCCATATTGAAAAGTCACACAACCCTTAGATTCACGAACCTACTCAAGAGAGTATTTGTAAATGCCTGCCAAGTGGGGTAGACTCCGCAGGACACTCCAGGCACGAGGTGGGGTGGAGAAAAGGCAGCCCTGGTCCTAGGGAGCTTATTTAGGGAGGGAGACAGAGACTGGTCAAGAAGTCACAAGACAGGTGACTGGTGAGATCCGAAAGAGGGACAGCAAGCTCCTGAGAGTCCAGCACCTGGCTAGGTGGGGTCATGTTTCCACAGACGGAGATGTGGAGGTCTAGAGAGGGAGAGGTCAGTAAACGAAGGGCAACCGAGGAAACAGAAACAGGTGTGCCTAAGGCTCGATGGGTGGGGAGACAGGGACAGAGCACACAGTTCAGATGCAGGCCTGACTAGCCCCGTCCTGCCCACCCCCACATACGCACCTGGGGAAGGCCATGGTCCCGGGCAAACTATGGAGCCTCAGCAGAAGGGCGGAAATTTGCTTCTAAGCAATGCCTGTGTACAGAGCCAGGCCAGGCACCAGGCAGGAGAGGTCCAGAAGGAAGGGTGATCAGGGCGAACCCCCTGCAATTGTGCAGCCTTCTCGGAAAGTGTAAAGATGTTTGCTCCTTGCTCATACCTGAGTGGGGAAGCTGAGGTATAAGGAAATGTTTATGCTAGTAATTGGCAAGGAGAAGATGGGAGTGCAGAAAGTCCTGTGTGTGTCAGGTGTCACACTGGCTGACCGTTGTGAACCGAGGTGTCAGTGCTAGTCTTTAAGCCAGGCTCCTTCATCTGCTCCTCATGACTCCTTCCTTCCTGCTGCTGCAGGCACTGGAAGCCATAGACAAGGCTCTTCAGCTCAAGCCCAAGGACCCAAAGATCATATCTGAGCTTTTCTTCACGAAAGGAAACCAGCTAAGGGAGCAGAACCTTCTGGACAAAGCTTTTGAGGTAAACTAAATAGGCTGTGGTCACAGTTACAGGTTTGAAGGCCCACCGCACCGGGTAAGGGCACCTGGGCCTCCGATGGCTCCCAGAGTGGCCTCGTCAGTTCACCGTGGTACAGACTTGCTTCACTTAAGCCTCTGGTGTGAGACTCACACAGCCCTCTACATTTTCTTTGCGTTCTCATGGATAGAAAATATTCAAAGTGTTTCATGCTCAGGGATTCTCCAGAGCCCACCTAGCCGGTCTGTTTTGTCTACAAGAGCCCCTGTCACAGCAGGGCTGGCGCCCACGTAGCTGTGAGCGCGCACATGTCTGACACCTGCCGCCTAGATTTCCTCTTCTTCCTCAGGAGCCCTCCTCTCGGAGCATCCATGCTGAGCGGCTTTTCTTCTGAAGCTCAGTAGCACTGCATCAGGGATGGCCCGATGGCTCATGGGTAAAGGCACTTGTCTCCAAGCCTGACCCCTGGGACCCACACGGTGGACGTTGGTGTCTGTCCACCGTTTGCAGCGACATGCATCACCTCCACAACCACTAACGGGTCTAAAAACATGACCACGTCAGCAGGGTGTGGTGCTGTACCTGGAGGCAGAGGACCACAGGTTCAAGGCCAATGAGCTTTAGGGCAATAAAGCTATAGAGAGATTCTGTCTCAAAACAAACACGTTTAAACACTTCCTCTTTAAGGGGCCAGTCATTTGCCTCAGAGCAGCCAAAATTATAGAAGTGTGCTGCCACAGTTCAGCTTTGAGGAGCTGCAGAAAGGCAGCAGAAGGACGGGCACCGGGTCCCATACAGTGGCATAAATGACACGGGCGCGTTGCTTTGGGGGCTTAGCGGCAAGTTGGGGCTGCGGGACGATGGGCCATGGTTAAGCGCTCCGGAGAGCACGTCAGGTTCTGGGATTTGTCTTTATCCCTTTCG